GGTTTGGCTAATCTGTTGAATTTTCTCCTTTTAGGTTATACTTTCCTACCCAAACAAATAATCTCATTTTATCTCTCTCCTTAAACCTTCATGCTTCTTTTTAACTCTCACTCTAAGCTAATGACCTAATCCACTTTTGACATCAAATGTATAAATTCAGCTACACACATACCCATCCTTTCTTATCTCAAGTTAATAGTGCAAGAAATGTCTTTTCCAGGTTCGGAAACATACCCTTCCCAGTGTGATCTGGTTACCATCTCCTGCCACCCTCTGAGAGACTCTTTCTATTTCCTGGTCTGCTTCTCTTAGATTATCTTTGCAAGTTTGAGCCGAGCTGATTTAGCAGCTGGGCATGGTGGCACATACCTGTAATCCCAGCATTGGGGAGGCTGAGGCAAGAGGATTGTTGCAAGTTCGAGGCCAGCCTGGGCTACAAAGTGAATTTAAGGCCTGAACTGCATAATAAGACCCTGTCCCAAAAAAGACCAAAAAAAAAAAAAAATTAATGACTTTCAAACTAAAAAACTTTTTAGGACTGAAGTTGTAGCTCAGCATAAAATTTCTGAGTTTAAGCCTCAGTACTGCAAAATAAGTAAAATATCACCCTATAGGAATTTAGTTTAGTGGTAGAATCCTTATCTAGCTTGTATGAGGCTCAAAGTTCAATACCCAGCACTGGGGAAAAAATAATTACCCTGACACAGAGTTATTAATGTGTGGCCTTTTAAAATAGACATGTTTTCCTCATGTTGTGACAACTTTGTGGTACTGGGAATCAAACTCAGGACCTTGCACATGGTAGATAAGTGCTCTACCACTGAGCTTCATCACTATGCCCTACCCCTTCCTGTGTTGTTTTTGAGGGGCATTCGCATAGAATCAACATTTTAGTACAGTACACAATATCCGTTGTTGCCATAGCAATATGGTGCTCTAAAGTTGTACAGACAGAACCCTAACCTTGGGATATTCATAAGTAATCAAAGAATGCCTGTCAACAACAAATTGAAGCTAGGCGTGATGGTGCCAGAAAGAAAAAAAAAAGCCCAAAAAACAAACTGAAGCAAAATTCTCAAGTAAACATGGGCCACTTTATAAAAATAATGTTCTCAGGTGGCTATATCAAAGAACAACTATGATCTTTGACTTTTTTTCCAGAGAAGAAGAATACTAAGTTAATAATAGAAACAGTTATATTTCATCAAGCTACGTACTAAAACCAGAAGTATAGAGGATATTAGATTGCTATTTAAATCTGTAAACATCTACTGTCATTTTTCAGATTTTCTCAATTCAATGAAGTAAAACCTCATTATGTAACATTGATGTTATATAAAGTTGAGAGGTATAATTAGGTTACAAAATTAAATTTCCCATATCTGGCTATGCTACGTGTCTTGCCTGCTAAAATGTTTTCTTTGTTTCTCAAAAAAAAATTCTAGGCTGCGCATGGTGGTATATGCCTGTAATCCTACCACTGGGAAGGCAGCGACCAGAGGATCATCTGCAAGTTGGTAGGCGAGCTTGAGCTATGTAATGAGCTCAGGGCCAGCCTAAAGGACATACCAAGACCCTGTCTCAAAAAATAAATTTCTTTTTTTTTTTTTTCCCTTTTTTTTTGTTCTTAATTTTTATTTATTTTTTTTGGGGGGGGTACCGGGAATTGAACTCAGGACCTTGTGCTTGCCAGGCAGGCGCTTATGCCGCTGAGCTATATCCCCGGCCCTCTTTTGTTCGTTTTTAACATCTAAGTATGAGATTGAAGCAACCTCTTTTCTTCTTTTTTTTTTTTTTTTTTGAGACAGAAAACTGCTATACAGTTCAGACTGGTCTTGAACTCTGTAGCCCAGGCTGGTCTCAGACTTGCAATGATTCTCCTGCCTTAGCCTCCCAAGTGCTGGGATGTAGGTGTACACCACCACACCTGGCAATTTTTTGTCTTTTTGAGACAGGGTCTCTGCTATGCAGTTCAGGCTGACCTTGAGCTCACTTTGTAGCCCAGGTTGGTCTTGAACTCACAATGATGCTCCTGCCTCAGCCTCCCAAATTGTTCATTCTTTGTACTTGCTAAGGATGCTTCTGTGGTATTGACAGGCCTCATCAGAACCTTCAGGAATGAATTCTTCTCAATAAAGTGAAGTTTGAAAAAACGATAAAGTAAAGTTTGATCTGGCTATGTTGGAATTGGGTATTGGATCACAGTCTTATTGGTTAACCACTTGGTCTGTATTTCTAAGCAGTGTAACTCTGACAAGGCTCTTACATGCACGTGCTATGAGACACGATGATCTTCATGTCTGCTACTAACTGGATTTCTGTCAAAAGGGAATGCTTCCTTGCCTCTGATTGTCACTTCAATGTTTTCCCTTTATTGAGGAATTATAGGCCCAACATGGAGGAATTGATCAGCGCTGTAAGAAATATGATCATTTTAATTGTTCCCTTTTTTTTTCTATAGCTTCCTATTGACCGAGGTGGAGGTGAAGGAAAGGCCATGTACATTGATACTGAGGGCACTTTTCGGCCAGAAAGGCTCCTAGCAGTGGCTGAGAGGTAGGTTACTAAATTCTATGAGAGAATATGGCTGCATCTGCCAGTGTGGAACGCCAAGGTTTTGACTAAAGAAGTCTTATTGCTCCACATTGCAGTTATATGTCATTCAAAAGGATGACTTTCTTTAGTCAGAGTGTATGAGTTGGTGCCATACTAGATATAAAACAAGACCCAACCATATACTGTCTTCCAGAGAAACACTTTAGACTCAAGGATAATTTGAAAATGAAGGCAAAAGGTATCACACGCAGACAACAACCATAAGAGATTGGATGGCTGTACTAGACAAGGTAGACTTCAAGACAAAAAGTTTTACTAGAGATAAACATTTTATAATTAAAATATCAGTTCATGAAGAAGATACAAAATGCGGGTTGTGATGGTGCACATCTGTAACCCCAGCACTCAGGAGGCCGAGGCAGGAGGATTGCCACGAGTTCAGGGTCAGGCTGGGCTACAAAGTGAGTTCAAGGCCAGCCTGAACTACATAGCGAAACACTGTCTCAAAAAGATCACCCCAAAAAGAAGATACAACAATTATAAGCATAAAAGGTAACCACTGGAGATTGGTCTGCCCTCTGAAGCAGAGGCCCCAGAGCTCAGACCCATCCTACCAGTTAGTCCAACAGGAATGAG